TCGACATCCAGCGAGCATGATGAATTGCTCCTGGAGCTCGAAAAAAGATTTGACGAGCAGGAGTACCATTTAAAAATATAACGGTTAGTTCAAGAAATTCTCGGTAATCTTCCCTACATTGAATCTTAGTTAATTCAGACATGCAAAATTTTAAAATACATTCAGTCGAATTATTTAAATGTTGACTAACTTTAGTGTCTTGGAGTTTCCGATTAAATATATTTTCGTTTGATCACGAAGTTCGTATACTAGTGACATTATAACATCTATTTTACAAATGTACTTTGCAGTAACAACACCAGTGACTTTGCAATAACTAATGATAAATACGAACAATTATGATTCACATAATCACATTAGATATTAAAAAGCATTAAGATAAAAACGGACTATGTACGATTGTAATATGAACTGTATCGATGGGGTATTTTTATATTTACAGACATGTCTATGGTTTATTATGATAGTAACTTTAAGGGCTTTGGGGCACGGGTTGAAATTATCCGATTATATTCAAATTTTGTATACATAATTTTTATACATATTGGAACCTCTTTAGAGGCATCGACTATAAATAATAATAATAAAAAAAAAATCCCTATAAATAAGAACCATCCTACTGTATATATATATATATTAATAGTAATTTGAGATAAAAACGCTTTCTAGTATATAATTATCTAAATTATATTTTTTCTCTATCAATATAACAATTTAATTAGTAACTATTATCAAGTTATAAATAATTACTAATTAAGTTTGTTGGTATTTATAATCTAATGGCGTATATTCTTCAGAAAGGTGGGTGGGATTAATACCAATAAATATGGCACAAATTTTTTATTTAAATCTATAAATAAATTTTAAGACAAAATGATTTCAAAATTGAAATGTAATTAAAATTATCCTACTATATATAAAATCACAATTAAAATTTTCTAGAAATAATTTCTGTTTTAAGGTTCAAATATTAAAAAAAGAAATATTGGTTTTATTTTGTAATGCAAAATGTTTTATTATTATTTGAGTTATACTGTTTTATCATTTGTTATCAAGATATTAAAAAAATGCATTTGTTGGTAGGCATCTACCCAAGAGCATTAAACTTTATACCAGGGCGAATTTAGTTTTTTTTTCTTTTTTGAAGGGAGGGGTTGAGAAATTTCCTCTGAACAACAATTCACAATTTAGTCAATTAAAAACCAAAATTAAAATGTTAGCAAGCAATTTTAATGTTTATTGTTTAATTATATCAATTTTTTTTACAAAATTAATGAAATAAAATACCTATTGTTATAACTGTGGTATAACCCTGGGTATAAAGTAAAATTGAGGACAGGAATATCGTCAATAAGAACAAAAATCAAATACATATTTTGTTATTTCCAATGGATTATAATTAATTATTAATTTACAATTATATAAGTTTTAAGATTAAAAATTAAATATACATAAATTGATACATTTACTTAGCTTGCTAGAACACGGTTGCCGACTTAATTTATTAAATTATTAATTTGTCGGTTACATTATTGCTGACACTATACTTATTGTTATGCTTGCTTTACATCGCCATTAAGAATTTAATGGAGGGATTTTTAACACTTTATAATGATCGTGTAATTACAAGTACTCAAATAAATTTATTTTAATTTACTAATTTTTTTTTTTTAAATTTCAATAAAAAACATCAATGTATATTGCATTTTAGAGTTTCATTGAATTTTAAATTTTAAAATAGCTTCGGAGCCAATTATGCGATTGTTATATGTGAACGCATATGTGTATTATAAGAAAAAAAATCATAATCACAATAGTCGAATGTAAACACTAAAATTGAATGTTTACATCAGTGTTTTTCAATCTCTGCATCGTGACGAAGGCTTACAATTTAAATATTACATAATTTGCGTATACTTATTTATATCTAAATCTTATAATAAATTAAATAAATAATTTAACACAATTAGTGTTCTAGGAAAATTTGACACCCAGAGCTAATAAAAATGAAGCGCGTTTACGAAGGTGGATGTATGGGATATGTTCATGACTTTATTATCCGTAAAGTTAACAGCGCCTTTATACCAACAGCGCCTGGACAAGCGTACCCACTTGTCCCTCCTCCACGTAGATTCGACATTGAACACAATACAGAGTGCACAAAAATAAGGAAGATAGATAACTAAAAACAAACATTCGAATTATTATCACAAAAATTAGGTAATACAATTTTTTTAAATAAATAGTTATACGTTTTATTTTATACTTAAAATAAAATACAACGAGAATATATATTTTTCATTAAAAAAAAAAACTTCAAAGTTCTACCCATTATTTATAATTGTATTTATATCGTTTAAATGTCATACATTTGTTTATTAGTTTATATCATTTGACATTTCTCACGAGTCGTAACATTCTTGGGCGTATACCACGACACATTATAATAATATAGGTAATAGTTTTATATTTAATTTAGGCTGCTATGCTCAAAGTGGTTGAGAAACAATATGCTTTGAAGTTTAAACTAAATGATAAATGCGCAAAACCGGTTTAAGTTTAAATGAGTGCTAAGTACCTACGTTATAACGTTTTTGTTCTATATTAAGTAACACTTATTACGAGTATTTCAATTATTTATTATAATAATAATACAAGTTGTAAATAAAAATTACAAAATTTTTATAATTATTCATTTAAATTAAATATTTTGATTGGACATGAAAAAATCTTAATTTTAAATTATTTTTTAAATAATTTACTCGTATTAGTATTATATCAAAATGAAATAAAAACTATTTTATGTTTAATTTATGTTTAAATTAAAACCTAAAAATTCTTGTTTGTCAAAGAACGGACATCATTTGATTTGCGAAAATGCTTTCATTTATCTATGACACAGATAAATTACAGAAATAGACTTAATGCCATCTAATTATTAAGATTAATTATAGGAAAACAAAGTTTACAAAAACATTAATCGATCAAGAAAATGAGTTTACTATAGTAAAAAAACTTTCCTGTTTCCATTCAGTAGGTATGTTAATCACTGAATACATTGATACATACGTTGAAGAATTTTGTATTTGCCGAAATCCCGAAAATTCGGATTCTGAATTCTAAGATCCAAAGTTAGCTCTAAACCAAGATTTCGGATTTTAAAACATTAGATTAGGAATTTTTTTTTTTCGTAATAAAGTTATAATAAATACTTTTTTTTAAATTAAATGAATATATATATCTAATACATTTAAAATAATTTTATTTTATTCAAAAACTAGTCATAACTAGAATTGTATTTTAAATTACCTAAAACACAGGCCTATATTGAGATCTGGTGGCGCCCTTAGCGAATCACTTTATTTGCCCCCCCCCCCCCCCCCAAGAAAAGTTTGCATTTTTTTACAAAAAGTCATCTGACATATATAAAGCATGTATAAAAACATAGTATACAATATAATATTTACTAATAAATAGAGTGCGGATTTGTATGTATTTGCATATTTATTCTGGTTGATCATATGATATGCTAAGTAAGCACAACATTTGTTTCATAACATAACAATTTAAAAAATGAAACTTTTTTAGCGCATATTTTTGTATATTTTGACATTTTTCTATTTTTAGGGTTTATTTTACAATTTTAATAGCATATTTCATATTTTAGCGTATATTTCGAGGTTTTTGTTTTTTTTTAGACATTTTTGAAATATATAGTATTATATTTTTATAGTTTCCATTAATATCAAAATAAATTAATAAGTATATTTGTAGCTTACAAGTTAGTTAGCCTAACCTACCTACAAGTTGTAGGTATAAACGGTTTTCCCAAATATAACCTTAGATCAATAATCGGGGAAATAAAATACGTTTACTAAGATAAGATAATAATATAAGATAAGATATAAGATTTTTTTGCTAATTTTTTTATTCTTCGTGCATATTTTAACATTTTAGTTCATATATATTTATGCATATTTAGGGTGTTTTTAGCCCATATTTGGTTGGTTTTCAATGCATATAAATCCGCGCTCTACTAATAAACTTTAATGAATATTTGTTTTACTTTAAAATATAAACAATCAATACATTATAAAAACATGTAATTTTCTTCAAATGTTTTTGTTATACAATTGTGTTAGATGATTTTAAATTTATTTTAATACAATAGTACAATGGTACTTTTCTTGCTTTTATAGAAGCAAATTTTTCAATGAAATTATCAAATTAAATTGTTTTAACTACATCATTTTCATATTTGGTGAAAAATATTACATGAGTAATGTTGAAATTTTCGCCCCTCTTAGAATTGCGCTCCTGGTCCATGCCCTCTTGCCCTGCACTGAATACAGCCCTACTGAAATAAGCAACAAAATATCATACCGTTCAATAATTTAAATTCAATATTTTAAATTGAATTAAGTATAAAAATATTCGAAGAATCCGGATTCATACCACATTACTTAGTGTCAGATTTTGAGGGGAGGGGGATAAATGTATATGCTTGCCAAAGCGCTTTTAAACTCATGAAAAATAAAATAATTCATGAACATATCTCGTACTTTCATCTTCGTAAGGACGCTGCATTTTTATAAGTCTCAGACGTTGCATTTCTTAAATTAATTTTTCTTATTTTAAGTGGATAATGAATATTATACATTCTGAAAACTAAACAATAAAAGAGAAATAAAATCTTTTTCACATACATACTTACGTAGCTGCGTGTTATTGATTTGTATTTTAATATTTTCTCAAAGCCATTCAATATTAAAGAAATTATGTAATTCAGTGTCATTGAAAATTAAAATAATACAAGACAAAAAAAAAATAACCCTTTTCCATCCCCCTTTGCATTTTAATGCCTTTGAAACGATTATACATTTATGTATATGAGTACACATTTATTCATGTCAAATTCAAATTTGGTCAACTTTCCATCAGGTCACGTTTTCAATTTTTTCCTCCATGATAAAACGAGATGTTTACGTGTTTGAGGTTATGTATGGTCTGAAAAGCATCGGACACTTTCCTTCGACTTCTTCGACGTTTGTCTTCCGCAACAGCACATCGAAATCGTCGGTTAATTCCGTTTTGATTTCATTCTATTCAACATGGCCGATCAGGTAATATTAATTGACTATCCAGTCATGTATAGTTTGTATATAATGAGCACATCACGTCAAGCAATTTTGTAATTCGTTAAAGCGCTCGCAGACCACATGGAATGCCATCGCGACACATAATTTTAAATGAACTGCATGATTTTGTACGTACTTGTAATGTAATATGTTTGTTTTATTTTGTTAGACCGAAAAAGCTTTCCAAAAGCAACCTACCGTATTCTTGAACCGCAAGGAATCCAAGAAGAAGAAGTCCCTCCGTCATTACCGCAGCGTTGGTCTTGGTTTTAAAACCCCAAGAGAGGTTAGTATTATTTTATGCAATATTTTATACATTCATCTATTCTATTCATCTCATTCTATGGTCTCTTACCCTATTATTGTGTCTAATATTTAAATTTATATAGTAAAATATTGTGTTTGTTAGGAAACATGATGTTTTTCTAACTTCATTAATCAATATTGTTATTGATTGAGTAAATATTTTATATTATATATTTTTATTGTTAAATAAGAATCAACAGCTTAAAGGATAATTCTCATTATTAGATTATCCTATTTATACATTCTCTACAAGTAGTTGATGAAAAATTAGGTAATACAATAATAAAAATTTAAATAATAATTAAGAATTAATAAATGGTTAATCTTGTAAATTAATATGTAAGTGAATAAACAAATAACATTTTATATATATAGAATTAAATAAGTAAAAACCTGAAGTATTATATATGTAAAGTACGACTAATTTCAAATTAAAAATTTATCATCAGGTATATACAAAGTCAATTAAATAACTAAAATAATACTTACATTAATTCAGTTTTAGAGGAGTTACACATTCACAATTAAATAAAGAAAAATAATTTTAATAATATTTTAAATGTACAACCGATTTTAAAAATAATAACCAAAGTATTAATATTTTTGAACATTTATATGCCTAATGAGAACTAATTTTAAATAAACTACTGTTAAAATTATTTATCTCTATGTAAAATGACTAAATTTTCTTAATATATTCATCTTTTTATCTTTTTTATATAAATCATGATTTTATTTTTTCTTATTTAGTTGCAATTTTATCAACTTAGTATATATCTGATGATGAATTTTTAATTTGAAACTGTTTATACTACTGGTTAGCTTTTATTTATTTAATTATTTATTTCTATGTATACATTTTTTTTTAAGGGATGCAAGCCATGAATTTCTTTCTCTTCCTATCACACACGTAATATAGGGATTTAGACGTTTTCTATTTTGAATATACCAATCAATCTATTAAGACAATAAGGATTTTGAAAACTGTTTTGAATTTGTCGTAAAGTTTCCTTTAGATAGAATTTCTTACATTTTTAAATTTTGTACTTAACATACCTAAACATTTATTTTTATGTTTCCAATTTGTTAAATCCTATTTTGTGAAATTTTGGGAGAAAAATCATAAAAGTGGGAAAATCGATCTAAAGAAGACTTTATGACAAATTAAAATCAGTATTATTGTATCAATAGATCGGTATGTTAGAAATATAAAATGACTAAATCTCTATATTGTACATGTGATAAAAAGAGAAAGAAAATCTTGACTGGTAATCACCTTAATTTAGTTATATTTTGAAAAATTAGAGACTATCCTTGTGTAGTTCACTTTTATGGGATACAGTTTTTATTTTACCTCTTATCCATTATTCATATTTAGTTTATATGATGATATTAACACGACGGTCTTATGAGTTAATTTACTTTGATTTTATATTGTGTTACTGATTACTAATTGAAATATTTATTTATTTTTTATAACTGTTGGATATTTCTTATTAAATTAAATAACAAATCATTATTATGATATTATTAACATGAGTCTTATGAAAATAATTATGGTGTTTTTATGCTGTGTTACTGACTCTTTTAAAATGCTTTTACTTTAAATTTGATTAAAATACATAAACGCAAAACCATTATAATGATGATACTAACACGACGGTCTTATGAGTATAATAACCCTGATTTCATAAAGTGTTACTGATTGCTGTATAAAATTCTAATTTATATTTTTTAAATTGTTATTTCTTATTGCATTGAATAACAAACTAATAATATTATTTTACTAACATGATGTTCTTATAACTTATTATTTACTTTTCTTTGATTTTACATTGTGTTATTGATTATGTAAAAAATATTGTCTGAAGTAACAGTAACTTAAATTTAAAGTTAAGTATGATTGTAACATGGATTATCAAGTATTAATTTGAATTAAGAGATGGCTAAGAACTTAAATTATTTTCAGAAATTATAGAAATAAAATAGGTTCTGATATTTTTAGTTTATGTATTGAAACTAACAAGATGATCTTATGAACAATGTGTTTTTGATTTGTATTTCTAATTTTTTTTGTTTCTTTAAATTTTCAATAATATCATTCATCAATATAGAAAATTAACAAAATATTTAAATAATTTCAAGCATATCCAACTTTGTTTTTTTTACAATTACAATCAAAAGTTGTTTCAATTTTTAGTTCATATAAGGATAGATAAACTATTAATGTATTTATATAGGTATATAGATAAATAAGTGTATTATTTGAATTGGCTCATGCTTAATTATAGTTATCCTAATGCTTATGATTTAAAATTTATATTTTCTCAATTAATGGATATTATATGATATGATGATAACAACACGACGGTCTTATGAATAATTTGACATTGATTTTAAATTGTGTTATCTGATAAGAATTATTTTTGAAACCTTAAATATGTTTTTTATTATATATGGATTTCTTTTATATTTCAGAAAATCTTAAGATTAGTTAATACCAAACTAATAAATTTATGAGAACCAATTTTATTATCTTTAATAATTATATTAAATTACTTTTTTTTGTTGTATACCTAATATTAATATATTAAATTTTTACTGTAATGTATTATATATTAATGATAAATGTTTAACATTTTTTCAAATCAATATAAAATTAATTTATACTCGAAGGTCTCAATATTTTATGTATTGAAAAATGTTTAAATGAAATTTTAAAATATTTATTTATAGCTTGTAAATATGAATAAATTGACAATATTATGTAGATACATATTAACACTAATATCTAATTATATTTTAAGTTCGTAGTTTAAAATTCATAATCATTTTTAATCCCAAAATTATCCAATAAATTATAATAATCAACACTATTTATTCATTTTTAGGCTATTGATGGAACTTACATTGACAAAAAATGTCCATTCACTGGTAATGTTTCAATTAGAGGACGTATCTTGACTGGTATGGTGCGTAAAATGAAAATGCAAAGGACCATTGTGATAAGGAGGGATTATTTGCATTACATTAGTAAATATAATCGTTTCGAGAAGCGTCACAAAAATATGTCTGTACACTTGTCACCATGCTTCCGGTATGTTATCTAACAGCATAATAATGATTAATGTTGTTATATAATAAAAATTGTTATTTATAGTGATGTGGAAATTGGAGATATTGTCACTATTGGTGAATGTCGACCTCTGAGTAAAACTGTCAGATTTAATGTACTGAAAGTCACCAAGGGAACAGGAGCAAAGAAAGGTTTCAAAAAATTCTAGATTTAAATGTAATATTATTATTTTTATTCATTCTAATAAATTCTAGAAACCCAAAAAAAAATGTATGTTTTTATTTACTCTTCCTTTATTTGAATTTAAAATATTTATTTCCTTTAGATTATTTAAATGCATGATATTTAAAGGTGTTAGAAAATATGAAAATAGTTTTATAAAAATTTAAGAACAGTTGAAATTAATCATAACCTTAATAATACTTTTAAATTTTAATAAAATAAAAATTAAGACTTGTTGCACAATATTAATGTTGTGTGTTTTGTATAAAGTATAGAATCTTTGCTTAGAGATTATTTTCATTGAAAGTAAAGAATATATCAAAACGTTTAGTTTCCATTTAGTAAGGAATTTTTAATAATTGAAGTGTTGAATTATTGTTAATATTTCATATGTAGTGTTAAAATGTATAAATTATTAATGTTCTTACTACTCACAAAAATAGTAATATTATGAATTATCATTCATATTAAATTGTAAGAGCTACATAGCACTTTCTTAATGCTCTTATAATCTAATCTATCGTTTTACCTAATCTAATACAATAATTCTTGATACTCATCTGAGCACTAATATAGTTTGTCCCACCAGAGACATGCTGTGTCTGCGCATGTAAATAGGTACGTCGATGACCGGGCCCCCTCCACTCGATAAAAGTTTGCTGATGATGAATGATTTCGCTCATGGTCTGTCAAGTTTTTGGGGGGAGAGATATGCAGAGTCAACTAGTTTTTACGTGGCATAGTCTCGTGGACAGACTGTAAAATAGTATAATTTTTAAGTTTGAAAGTAGGTAACCTAATTATAATTTACAATATAACGGTACTATTGTAATTAGTTGGTAAAAAAAAGGAATTTCACTTATATTTTTAAGTAGTCTGAAATTAAATGGTGCTAAATTTTGAATGTGACAAATGGTATCCATATTTAAAACAGACATTTTTCAATTTTATTCAAAGGTTTAATAAAATTGGTATCAATAATTTATTAGAAAATAATTACAAAATTTTAGTTTTTTTTTAATACTTTTATATGTCTGATCCTTCACATTATTATTTTCATCAATCTGAATCCAGACAAAAGTATTGATAATATTTAGTATATTAATATTCTAATTTATAAAATTTTCTAATTTTTAAATTTATATAAAGTTAGCTATAAATAAAATAGTAAAAATAAATTAATATATAAATAAATCAACGCATATCTTATACTTAGAAATAAATAAATGCTTAGCCTGAAGTATTACCTATATTGTAAAGTATAGCAGGTTATGAATTTGAAATTAATTTTCAGGTAATTACAGTTATTAAAATCGCAACTATGGATTAAACAATTTTTTTATTTGTTTATATATGTCATTATTTAAATTTTAAAAGTAATCCCCTTTATTAATTTTATAAAAAGTAAAGGTAGTGGTAAAGGTAATGGCCAACAAGTATAATTTTTATGAAAATTTAAAATAATTTGTACACCGTCTATGACTATAATTTTATTTGATTATTATACGATTAAATATATTTGTTATAATTAGTTATTTCAGATAACTTTCTTGAAAATACGTTTTAATGAACGCTTTTTAATGGTAAAATAATATAAGTAGTCCATAAAGTATAATTGCTATTTTATATATTTAATATTGTATACTAATAAACTGTGGAAAATACTGATGTTTTAGGACAGAAATGTGATTATTACGATACACATTTTAACTATCATCGAGATGAACTAGAGTTCTGTACATGATTCTTCCGTTATTGTGCAATTAAAAGAATAAAGATGAAATTGCATTACTCTGTTTTAGTACCAGAGTTGTTTTGTTTTAAACTCGTATTTTAAATATGTTTAAAACAACTAAAAAAATTTTATAGTAGAATATTATTTTACTTAAAATGTATATTTAATTCGGACCATATGTCCACACATTATTCATTATATTCATATTTTACATTAATTCTCGTAATCAGTGAAACTCTTGAGGCTTCTTATTTAAAAACATTTTTCAATAACAACTGAAAAGAATGTGATAGAGGGAGGCGGGACTTTAAAGTTTGAATAAAATATGATACCTATTACATAGGTGCCTACCTAAACAAATACGATTGTTTATTATTGAAATAAAAATTTAACATGGTTATCCTCTACCTATATTATTGTACTTAGTACTTAGGGTATGTTATTGGACATAAACTACTTGTTTGTTAAAAAATATAATCGTTAGAAACATGTACAAAAGAAAACAAATAAATAAATATTACATTTATTTTTAAAACAACTAGTAAACATTATTTTCATATAATTTCTTTTATAATGTATGATTTAAACACGAGAACGTAATGCAATAACTTAGAAGAATGCGACACAAAGGTTATTGGTAAAGTTAGTAAATACGAGTAATATTAGTTTTATTTAAATAAATTATACATTGATATTTTCATGTCAGTCGTTGCACCTTTTGAGGCCTCATCATTTAGTAAGAGGCCCGGGGCCTGTGTACAATGTACACTTTGCAGATCCGGTTTTTATGGGCACTGCTATCATAGGTATAACTAGGGTAAAACATTTGGGGGGATACAGCTCTCCTACCAAAACTTAAAATAGCCTGTAGATTACCCCTACTCTTATATACCATGTTAATATATTTTAGATTCTGAGCCAAGTTGGATTTACTGCGATGTGTCTTTTTTTGTATGTTGTATGCGGTATGCCATGTATAACATGGAATATTTATGGGGGAGGGCTAAATCCGGCAGAGCTAAGCCCCCCTAGTCCCCTCCTAGTTGCCCCTATGACTGCTATGCATTTAGAGTATCAAACATTCGTATGGCGCTCTGTGTAAACAATTTAAATAAATTCGTAACGAAACGATGTTTTATTAGCACACAACAACACGCGAATTATTGAAAAATTAATTTTATTATTTATTTTAATTAAAATATAAATTAACTAACCTGCTCCAGTGGTGTAGCCGAGATTTTTCAACGAAGCGAGGTGGGTAGGTTTATACAATAGGTACACAATTAACATATTTCTAATTTTTTTATACTTTATTTAAAACATTTAAAAAGTCAAAAAATATCCCTTAATTGCTTTACATAATTCATTAATCGTAGTTTTCTTGTTTTGGTCGCTAATTTATTTATGTATAACCTGGTTGTAACATTATATCACTGTGCATATTCATCATTGCTAAACCATTTAATCTACTTTCACACGTGGTGTTTCGAAAAATTTTTTTATTATTTTTTGAAAATAGGTTTTTATTATTTTTCATGTTGAAAAGGGGGGAGCTTAGCATCCAAATATTTTAATACCTCACTTAAATCGGAACTTTGATAGAATGTTATTCGTTGTTTTTATAATTATCTGTTGGTTTTTTTGAAAATCGTAAAATAAGAAATAATTAAAAACTATTCACAATAGCATTAACAATACCAATTACATAGTTTGGCTACTCGCGAAAAAAGTTTCAGTGCAATGAAAAAAATAAAAATTTGGCTAAGGACATCGTTGGTTCAAGAGAGGCTCAGCGATCTTTTAATACTATTATTAAAAAAGATATATCGAAAAATGTAAAAAGCGATGATATTTTGAATATCTTTGCTGATACAAATATATATTTGTCATTAAAATAAAATATTGATTATTTTTATATTTATATACGTTATTTAGTGTTTTTTAATACAATTTTAACATATCTATATTTTTAATGGTAATAAATTTTACTTGTGCATGGAAAGGGGGTGTGGGGCGAAGCCTCTACGGGTTATATTACATTGAATTATTATAACACCCCCCCCAAAAAAAAAAAAAATTCAACCAAATGTTTGCCTATGCCACTGCATCAAAGTTCGATACTTGTACAGCAGGTTAGTACAAATACGACCGCAACCGATGATCAAAACTACGTATTCCAACGAAACGCTGCTTAAATCTAAAACTGAAGCATTTTATCCGGTGATTTACCATTCAAAGTTTAATACTTTGAAAAAAATGAATTTGTTAGTATTCTGTCCGGACGAAGGATATTTCAATGTGATGTAAAAGGGAATTCTCTATGATGTATAAAAAATGGAGTTTCAAACGTGTTACATATTACCTGCCTCCCCCCTCCGTAAAAAATTTAAAAAAAACGATGTAAATAATTAGCACACAACTCGTATGAATTCGCAAGACCAATACCAACATTTTTAAGACACTCCTTCCCCTCTAAAATCGAAAATACAGGATGAATTGGCAACACATCTCACCAGCCCCTCCCTCTGGTCAAAATTAACATATTTAAATTAATTTTTTTTTACGAATAATTAGCACGCAATTTGTATGAATTTGTAAGACCGATTTTGAAATTCGCATGACACTCCTTCCCCTCAAAAATCAAAAATCCCATCAATGTGGTCAAAATTTATATAGGTATTTAAACATTTTTTTTTTTTACAAATATGTAGCACTCAATTTGTATGAAATAATTATTTTATCTGTAACTCAAACATTTTGATGTTAAATGATATCATAACTTTTACTGCATTTATTCGTTTATCGAAATAGTTGGGTGGAAATTTTTCGTGGACATACCGTTAATTTGGGTTGGCAATACAGAACCTTGGTCAATTTTATAGCCTGATGACAATTTTAAACAAATAATTTTTATTAATTGTTCTTTTTATAAGATTTAACAAATTCGGTTTTTTGTAAATATCAACATTAAAATAAAAAAAAAAAAAAATATCAAGATTTTAAAATTAAATTAATTTTCTTCTTACGTACCTAAAATAGTAATAATAATCGCAATTCATTGCTTATTTCCCAGCAATATCGTCATTAATTTTATTACATCACATCGATAGCGTTTTCTCTCATGGGTGTCTCGGTGGTATATTCCGAACGTTTATATCATTTGACGTTTTCGAATTCACATTATATGATACGTGGTGCAGTATTACAGATTATATTAAAGGTTTCATGTAATCTGTGGCAGTACTATGGCATTAACGCCTCACGTGTGGTCGTCTTTACGTGAATATTTCTGTTTAATAATATTGAGTGCAACTCAAAATTGATAAATCGAAAAAAATAAAGTAAAATGAGTGTCATGAAAAATTACGGAGTTTGTGTTGTATGCAATAACTGGAAACATACCTTTACGCTTCATAAGTAAATTATAATTGACTAATTGGTACTTTACGACAGTTAAACAAAGTTGATGATAATTATATGATGTGACTTAAACATGTTTAGATTTCCTTCTAATTTGGATCAAAGGCGTCTGTGGCTAAAGAAGATTGGTTTGCAGGAGAAGGATTATAAAAACTCGGACAGACTTTGTTCCGTCCATTTCAAGGAGTCATGTTTTATAGGCATACGAAAAAAATTCTTAGCACCCGGATCAATTCCTACGAAGTTTCCTCCGGGACGAGGAAATAAAAGTAAAATATTCTACATCTAGATTACTATATTAGTTAATTTGTTGACTATAATTATTCTTAGGGCGTAGCGTAGGGCTGCCATATTTTGAAAGCACCAAATCGGGACACATTGAAATGATAAATATTTTTTTTTTCACGTGTAGGTAGTAAGAAATATTAACAGTACTTACGTGATTGTTTACATTTTACGGCGTAGAAATGTAGAGTTAAAAATTTAAGACCATTTTTGTCGGTTACAGCTTGCTAATGACAACCAAAATACTTTTTTATTATTATAATGTCTTATTAATTTTATAAATTAAAGAATAAAATTTAATTTTTAAGACACTTCTGAAAAATTATTGATTACTTTTTCAGTGTCTATTGAAATATTTCGATGAATTTTGGTATGAGGATTAATTATTTATTAATTAATTAATGACTCTAACATATGTATTTTACATAGCTGTCACAAGAGGATGACAACTAATGGAGCATATGCCCTAGGACGTTCAAAGTATTATGAATTTAAAGACCGTCATAAAAATTAATGATGATAAGAAAAATACAATGTTTTATTTTAGGTAGCTAAAGATTTACATTTTACTGAAATATTTAAGATGAGTACCTCAATCATATTGTATATTATATACTATTAAATATGAAATTATGTAAATAATGTGTTACATGCTTACAATAATGTATAAATATTACGGAAGGATAGAATATATAAGATAAAAAAAATCTAACCTAACATATTAAGGAATAAGGTAAATTATATGGAAAAAAATTTGGGTAAGGTGAAGGGGCGTCAAATGTTGCTCGATGGGGTTATTGGTTGTTTAATGGCACTAGAATTTCATGTCGATCGTCCACAAATGACAAGTATTGAAATACCTATGCAAAGTAGGTAACAATTCAATTATAGTTAAAAAAAAAATAGTAAATCTTTGAAAATCACCTCTATAAAATTCCTCAAATTCAATAAGGGCATATAATAATAACAATTTGTTATAAAAAATGTTTACACAGAATTTACTTATCCATCCACATTTAAGAAATATAAAAATGTCAATCGTTATAAAGTATGGGTTTGTAAAATTTGTAAGAAATACGTGGCAAACAAAGAAAATGTATGGAAACATTTAACCATGTGTAACGAAATAAACCCATATTTTGATGCCAAAACGGTTCTAAGTAAGGAAGAAGGTAAAGTATTTAATGTTTTTTATTGAAAAACCTGTTTTAGAAATAAATTTATTTATATTAGTATGATGGGGGTTGGGGGGTTGTAGTACCTGTTTTGAACACAATTTGTACACACGCCATACATTGTTGTATTAAATCAATGTAAAATAAGTTTATAATTGCTTAAAACGATAACTTTGAATTTATAGGTGTGGAACAAACGGAAGAATTTATATTCGTATCTTCAGAATATCCTCAAACATGGATATGTAATTATTGTAATACATATATTTTAAATGAATCGTCAGTTAACAAACATACTTGTCGTTAGTTCATTAAATATTTGTTATTTTATGGCCGTTTTTAATATATTAATATACACATTATTTATATGTTACATTATTATTATTGCTTGTATAATTGTATTTATATTTTATTTTACTTTCATTTTATTCATCAATTACGTATTTGATCAGTTAAATTAAAATTAAAATTATTCCTTAATACCCTTACAACATTTAAATTAATAAAAAAGTTTTTTTATTATAATATTTTTTGTTAAACATTTTATTACGTTTATTGAATAATTGTACTGTTTCTAATTATCAAGTCTATTATACTACTAAAAATTTTTTTAAATTTTATATCACAAATAAAGGCTAGATTATACTAATACAAATTAATTGTTAATTCAATAATATTAATATGAAGTTTTGGGCAAATAAAACACAACAAAGTTTGTCTGTATAATTTATTTCTTTAATTATATTTCATATACATTTAGATTATTAATATTATATTATTCAATACTCATATAAATAGTATAACTCAAAAGTTAAACTAAATAAGAACAAGAAATAATAAATTACATCTATAATAAACAACAAAAATAAAAAAATAATAATTTTAATTATAATAATAGTAGAATGAGACATTTGAAAATAATACTAAAAATTTAGTTTGGTAAATGTAGAACATACGTCGGGATAAATAACTAACACAAATAAATGAAAAAGGTTCTATCTATATCAGAAAACATGCATTTTTTTTATATCTAATTCTTTTAAAACCACATTTAAAACTTTGTATAAGAAATAAAAAATAAAATGCTTAAAAATTGAATTGCAATTTTTTTCAAATTTAAAACATACAATACTTCAAAAAGTTGAGCAATTTTGAGTGTCGCATTGTTATAAATATTTAATTGAGGTAGTATAAACGATTAGATGAGTTACATAACTATGTGACAAAACTAATTTGCAACCCTGACTAAAAAAATTATGACATTGCAAAGTAAATTTAAGATTGTAATTAAATAAAAAAAATATATATATATTGACTGAGTTTTAAATGTGCTATATATAAAAAAAGAGATCAACTTTATATAAAAAAAAAAAAAATAAAAAATAATATTAATCTAAAAGCACCAAATAAAAATAACACTTTGTTTAGTACTATTTCGTACTTCTTATTATAATTATAGTTAACTATAAGTAAATAGAATAGTTGCAATATTAATCTTAATAACTAATATAAATAATAAGTAATGTTTTCATAAGTTCTACATGATTAAATGTAATTGTTATACTTTATAATAATAGCATTAACTAATCGCAAAACTTTAAATTATAATTTTTATTCCTACTTCACACATTTGGAAATCTACAATAACCAAAAATGAATACATTAATTTTGAAATACCAAAGCAGAAAATAATTTGAATTATCTAATATTGATCCATTATAAATCAATCATATTAAGTATTGCATAACTAAATATTAAAATAACATTTATAGTTTTATATGTATATATAATTATCATTAAACAAGAGTATAGCAAATATAATATTAATGAGGATTGATATTTATGAACTAATACTGGTAATAGGTATTTATAGTGTTGGTACTATTATATCATTGTGGTCAAAATCCCATGCATACGTTAACAGATCAAGATCGCTCAGTTGTTGTGACATACCCCCTACGGAAGCAAGATCATCGCTTATTTCTGCAACATTTGTCTTTAACAATGGTACAGCAGGTCGTAACAAATCAGTAACTTTAACATTAATTCTTTTCACCTGTAAAAATAGAATTATTAGATTAAAATATATAAAATTAAGAATAAGTCATTAATAAATAAAAATGTATAAATTATTTTTTTGCATTCATAACAAAATTAACATAAATAATTTGTAGATAATGTTTCAATAATATGTACTTTTGTATAAATGGTTTATCTGTAGATATTGTTAAGAAGAGTCCAGAGATTGAGTACAAGGTAAGTAAAATATTAAAATAATAAAGCATTCAGAAAATATTATTATATAATTTAAATACAATTTATATATTAATCAATAAAAAATGTATTAAAATCATTCTGAACAATATTATGTAGATGAGTAAAAACATTAAGAATTATGCAAATTTTCGAGTGTAAAATAAATGTATCATTTGTAATCGTAGATAAAAAAATAAAAAAAATGATACCTTTATAATTTTTTTTTATTTCTTATAAAGAATGAAAAGTAATAATAAATGAAAGAAATATTTAAATAACTGAATCGCACTTGTTTAGTAAATGTATGTGCCAACAAATCGAGTGCAGAAGGTCTACTTTCTGGATCTCGTTGACAACATAATTCAACAAGATTGTGAAACGCTTCAGTAAACATTCTTGTATTAACACTGCTCACTGGTGCAGCATTCATGCCAATGGTTTCTTCAGACTGGTAACCATTATCAGCAGCGTTATCATCATACGGGTAACAAGTAGTACAGTCCAGTAAGTGTGGAATTAGTCCTTTTACTTTCTGTGTAAGCATCAATGTGGTCTCAGTTTCAGCAAAAGGAACAAAACCATTGGCCAGTTCACATGAGGTTATGCCTATGCTATAGATGTCAGACTTTTCATTGTACCCAAGCAAGTTTTGTTCGAGCATTTCAGGGCTGGACCAATTTAGATTGTTGGCCGATTGTAACGGCAAGGAATGTAAATTAGACCGTTTATCAAGTGAACACATGGTTCGCAATCCTGATAGGCATGCGTGTCCATCAGCGCGTATCAAAATATGACTAGCTTTTATGGCCCTATTTGATGGACAAAAACAATAAGATGTTAGAATTTGAATAACAATTTGGAAATGTTACCAACCTATGAATCAGTCCTTTGTTGTGGATGTACTCGAGCCCCAGAAGCACATCCTTTAGTACGAAGGCAATGACCGTTTCTGGCAGCCCTTCAACGAAATGGTTGCGCAGCAAGTCGCGACATGAACCATAACCCATCAGCGGGAACACCACGTACAGTTGGCTTTTGTCCAAGAACGACGTTACGTACGGTATAAGGTTCGGGTGCATCAGCTGCCTCGTATTGTATATCTCGTCCTGTATAAGTTGACAGTCGGTTTTGGACATGGTGTCCAGGTTGAAGTTCTTCATAGCTACCAGGTTGCCGCTCTTATTGTGCTTGCCGAGGAACACTATAGCGCGGTCCGAGAAACACGAGCCTAACACCGAGCACATTGTGTACTGCTTAAGGTCCGGTTCGAAATTCATTTCGAGCGTAACGAGGGGTTAACACCGCGTCCAACGAAAAACAACCAAACGCGCTTGGCTCGTTTTTTCCCACTCGTTTCTTCCGTTCTTCGTTCTCCAGAAAACAACAAGGCGAACAAACCCGTGCAATCACTGACCAACTACGATTCGTTTCGTGACCGACAGTGTATGCGTCCCGTTTTCTTACCTACACTACGAGTACGATTTACTCGTACCAGTGCAACAGCTCTGCTCTCAAGACAACGTTACTATCTATAGCGTTATCACCGTGCGATCAGCTGTTCCAATTGCGGCACGGAATGTTCTCTTGCCGTGGGCGGGCATTTAAATTTTTGAGCGTGGGCGGGCTGTCACGATTTCTCTAGAAATGCCAGAATTACACAGAAAAGTGAATCGTCTCATCAAACAAAAAAAATGTGCTTCTTAATAGAGCAACAAATTACGATCTCGTGTTTGATTCAAGATTTTTCACTATTTTAAATTAATGAAAAGTAATTATAGAAGCTAATAATAATAATAATAATAATAATAAAACATAACTTGCTCACACAAATCATTAAAATTATCATGATTCATAATATTTATTATTTAATGTAGGTATATAATTAAAATTGTTATAGTTGTACTACAGCCTTCAATAACTGTCAACTATTGTTTGTCAAATGTACACTTGCATAATAGACTGCCAGATTTATAAAGGTTGCACATAAATAATATAAATAATATCAATTACAATAACGATGATTTATAAATGTTGGGGAATGTGGGCCCAGGCCCGTAGCCACGGGGGGGCAAGGGGGGGCGTTGCTCCCCCTATACCCAGTCATTACCCCCCCTAAAAATATTAGAAAGATGTTTAGGTAGTTACGTATTTTATTGCTTATAACATTTTCATCGGTAATAGAATAGATCAAAAAAGTTTTTTCAGCCGTATAGTAGTATTTATTTCGGAAATTCCGGGCCATGACGACGACTGTTGGCAAATTGATTGCTAACGTTATCGTAATCGTAGCTCAATACTTTCCTATCAATTGACATTTTATTATAGAACACCTAAATATTCTTTCATTTTATCGCCGACTGCAGCAGTACACGTGTGTAAAATATGTTTCATTGTTAATTTATTTTGTAATTCATTGTGTTAATTTAATTAGATGTCAATGTAAATAAATTAAAAATTGCATTAATATTTAATACATTTATATATAATGCCCCCCCAAAAATTTGCTTTGCCCCTCCTGAAAATTTGGTCTGGCTACGGGCCTGTGTGGGCCCCCTAGACACGAGTACGGCCGGTGAACTCAGGATCCGTTCACGACCTAGCAACTAGGCCTGTACTGGATACGATTAACAGTTTAACAGCAGCACGGTGAGTCAACTCATTGCATAGGTGGCTTGGCCTCCCCATTAAAAATGTAAGTTGAACTTTTAAATTACTTTAGAATATTGTGGTATAACTATAGACACTTGGGGACTCTAAAGTCAATTATGAAATGAGGCTCACTAATCAAAAATGTAAATGATCTTAAAAAATCCAAGGTACACCATTTCCTACCCTCCCGTAAGGTAATCAAGACCATTGCATCCTTAATAATTTCTTAAAATTCAAAATAATTCCATAAAACAACTTTTTTTTTAAATATTAGAAATGTATGAGTTAAGATCAATATTAATGTTTCTAGAGCTCTTTGTAAAAAATCATCTACAAAATGCTTAACTTAAGGTTAATTATTGTTAATACTCGTAGTAACCGTCCCCGTAACATAAATCCGCACATCGAATATGACTTCGATTCGCGATAGCGAATTTCTATAAATAGAAATAAAATTGAATATTTAAAACACTATTCTTGCCCCCCCCCCATTTATTATTTAGGCATGGTAATGATTTTATAATAGTATAACATCAATAACTCGTAGGTAGCTACGAAACTCAATATATATTCAACATGTATGTAGGCTATCAATGAGTATTTGATAAAAGATGAAGAATGCAGTGAGCAAAAATATATTTTTTACTCTAAGCGTTATTGATATATGACTAAGGTTCTACGATGCAGTATGCTACCAAATATGTTTATGCCAGGGGCGTGCTTAGGTTTGGTTTTATTTAAATTCTTATGAGCTGCAACATAATTAAGACACGAATTGTAAATTATATATATATATTTTTTTGCTCTTAATTTTTATTTAATTTTCTAACGATCTTGGTTGCCGTAGACTGTAGAAAAAGGACGATGGCCGCGTGTTTGACATGCCTGGTGTACAATGATGTGTGTTTATTTTTTTTTCATATATATGTCATATACATTTTGAGAAATTTACCTTTTCGTGAATAGTTATCAATTTTAAAAAATAAAATCATTCAATATCATTTCACATTGCACGAAAAACAAAAATATTTAATCAAATATTCACATGAATTTTACATAGTGTAATTGAGTTATAAAATTTTTGCAAATGTTTGATAAAACATTTACCACTCACAACTAGCAATTTTATCAACATACATGTAGTCTATACACAGCTATGTGTAAGTAAAAAATATTATATTTAAAATGTTTATATTTTATTCATTATTTTATACTTCTTAAATTCATAGTTTGAATATATTATAAATTAAAAATAAATAGTTGTGTTCGGTAATTATTTTATTTTAGTTCATAAAGTAAAAAATCAATAAACATCTTTGTAAAACTGATATATATTTTTCATTTCACACACAATTTAAAATATCCAACCTTACGTTTGAAGTTTCTAATTAAAAAAATTTCCAACTTCCCCTTGTATTTTTATTAAAGAACCCAGTGTCGTACATATTCTGAGTTTCTTGCAAATATTTTTGTATTTGTCATTTATTGTTTTTTAGTATATACAATACTTTATTATTCGTTATGGCCTAAATGAGTATCACATCTACTCACAATTGATTGAACATTTAAACACTAATTATTTATTTTTAAATACTATATTCGTTATGATAATCTAGTTTTTCCTTTCACGTAGTCATATTGCAGTTGCACTAAATATTCGATATAACATATTATACAACCCACAATGGCCACAGTCAATTCGTTAACGACAACGAAATATAATGCAATATGTGTAGTATAATGTGCAATAGCTGTTGAAAATTACATCTTACGTTTTATTTAGCGAGCATCAATGATATGCTAGAAAATAATTGTTTGCCGAAAAGTTCAGTGCTGTTATATTGGAAAATTACCTCAGGTGTGGCATTTAGCATTTTTAATTAAAATAAATTTGATGAAAATATGATTTGAAAATATTTATAAAAAAAAAGAAGGAATTTCTATTTTAAAATATAAACAAAAAAATCTTTTAATGGTTGTAAATAAATATACTGCATAAATCAATAATTTAAAATGTATTACAGTTATTTATATTGAATATTATACACATTTATTTTACTTTAAATATTTTATAGTACTGCTACTAGTAACACATTTCTATTTAAGCAGTATTACAATGCTGACACGAACAAATGAAAGGATGTAATTTTATATTGCCCTGAGCAACATTAAAACTTAATATACGGTACTGCCAAGCGTCTTAATTCTAGCTACCTTCTATAAAGTACAATCGAGAATGTTTTTAATATAGTTTGAATTAGAAAGATTGTGTTAAAATATCAAGTCCTAAAACCGTTAAAGCATAACAATTTAAGTTTCTTATTTATAAATTATGTTATAGATAATGAACAAAAATGTTGTTGTTATAATCCACGTTAATTATTTTTAGAATTTTAGAAATCTTATAAAAAAATATTATACTTGAATGTTATTAAACCTAGTGTTATATTAGATTTTATTGAGTGTTAAGAAAAAAATGTATAAAAAATGTTTCATAAAACGAGTATTCTCTGTGTATGATTCATGTAATGAAAACCATAATAAAAATCTTTAATCTCAAAAATCACTATTTGCTTTTTATATTACTTTAAAAGTATAAAATGCTTACAATATTTACTATAAAATAGGATTCCAAGAAATTATAATTCATTTGAAAATCTACGATTTAGTAAATGTCATAAAAGTTTTTATTTTTCAAGTATTTTTATATTATTTAATGAAATTAAAATTGTTTTAAACTAAATATGGATAAAAATAATATTAAAAAGCCGTAGAATAATACTTATAAAATATTTATTTTCATACATGCTTTGAAAATGTTTTACTTAATCATTTTTTTGATTCGCATGAATAATTAAGACTCGTTAAATAATCGTAATTTGTATGAATTCGAGTTTCAAATGTTACATCTCGACATTATATTTACTTAGTCTTCCGTTTAACTTTACGTTACGTTCTTACAACTTAGTTAAAGTTGTTCTTATTGAAATCAAGCCGACACTGTTGTTAACAAGAAAGTATTACATAGGGAGAATATAATATTGCCTTAAAGTTTGTGGAGACATTGAATGAGAAGACATATACATATAACCTATAATGTTTTACTAATATACATGTTAAAACATTTGATTTCAAAGAATAATTAATAATGAATAAATAATATTATATTAATTTAGTGTACCAATAGGCAATCAAGACAGAGATGTTAAACGTAAAATAATAACGTTATATGGTTTAATATGGTATCAACAAATCCAAGTGTATTTTTACTGATGTTAACATTCAATATAACATTTAAAATTATAAACAGCTTGGAATGGCTATAAACATTTTCAAGGTATCGCTTAGCTACTGTGGTGCTTCTATTGAAATTAATCTAAAAGTGTATTAAATATATATATATATATATATAATATTTTTATCTATGATTTTATTTCAATATGCTTATTGTTATATTGTTATATTTTATATAAAGTTTCAGCGTTGTTAATATAAATAAAACGATCGATAACTCTCGATATTGTGTTTACTAAATAGTTAGCGATTCTAAAAGAAAAATTTCTTCAGCTGACAATAAAAAAAATAAACTCTACATGTGCTAGTTATATTTTTATATTTGTCAATATATAAACCATTAGAAATAAATTAGTAATATTATATGTATATAATTTAGATTGATTGAATCTAGAAAATATTTTTCATTTTTAGAATGGAAAAAAATATTATTCTGATTTGAAAAAATATGTTTAAATGTTTTAATATACTTTAGTTATAGAATTAAAAATAATTAGATTTTAAATTGATTTCATGATACAGTTATTAGTGGCCTCCCAACAGTTCAATTGATAGTTATAGCCAATGGCGTGTTTTCAGGGAGTGGGGTTC